GGACAGCTTGGGGGGAATCTTACTGGGCGGAGGAAACCACTTAGACTGCCACACAACCATTGCAGTACACTAGATTGTATGTGAGATTTCCATCTGCATGTGTGTGTGTGTGTGTGTCCAGCCAGGTTGAGTTGGGTGAGTCTCCCTCCAGTGGTGGGCAGCGGTAGTGCAGGAGACTGTGAGTGGCGGTACTGACTCTAGAGGTAACTGTGACTGGTTTAGCTAACCTGTATCTGCCAGTGAGAGTAGTGTGTGTGGTCTGCAAGGCCCGTGTGCCGGTCTGCTTGAGTGCAGCGTGTACGGACGAGGAGCGTCCAGGGAAAGGTTCCCCACACGCCTGGAAGTTGCGGGTGGGGGCAGATGAGATTAGTTGTGAGTGCGTGTTGTTGTACGTCCTTACCGCCATGCCTGCGGACTGGGAGGCGCCCTGGGGGTTTTCTCAACGATCTGACAGTGCGCTGGAAGATCTCCGAGGACGAGCGAAGGAAGGCGATAGGCCGCACGTCATCTGGCCCTTCCCGCGTCCCCCCTCAGTGTCCCTCCCCGACCCCCTGATCATCAGATGACGTTAGATGTCATCTGATGAACTTGTGATGGAGGAATTCCGGGTGGAATCATATACGGCTCTATGATCCGATGTCCTTATAATTGGAGTATACTACAGAACCCCGCCCCCCCTTCCCCCGAGATGTATGAGGAGGGGGAGGGGCGGCTCCTCCAACAAGTACGAGCCGGAGATACAAAACTACTCAGACACGAGGAGAAGAATAAAACCTCCAGTATGAGAAGAACTTGTAGAGTCAGCAGAAGGAATAAAAGGGAAAGAAAAGAAGATTTAATGATACAAATGTGAAGAGAACTTTTATCAATCACCTTACAATGAATATCATGAGAAGAAGAATAGAAACATTTCATCTCCATTTGTTTCACAATCATAAAAATGTCTTCATATATTTGTATCTTTATCAGGGAAATGTGAAATGTTCCGTCTGAAGACGTCATATCTTCCACTTTCCTCCAGCAGGGGGCTCTCCAGAGTCCATGAAGCTGCCTGTGCAGACTGATCACTACTGCAGTGACATGGTCAGTCCCGTCATGTAGTCTGATCTCCCCTTCTCTTCATCCGCAAGTCATATCTAGCTCCTCCCCCTCACCATGATGGAACATTCTATGAAGCTTCTGCTGAAGAGCCTGGGAGGATAGACGGCACTGCTAGAGGGACCCAACCAGCAGTGACACCCCCCCTCCCCCAGCACAGGAACACAGACACAACTTTGAAGACTTGAATGAACTCCTATTTCCTTATAAAGTGTTTCTTCCATTATAGAGATGAGAGGAGAGCCGAGTCATGTGATCTCTGAGGTGTTCCAGCAGGGGGCTCTCCAGAGTCCATGAAGCTGCCTGTGCAGACTGATCACTACTGCAGTGACATGGTCAGTCCCGTCATGTAGTCTGATCTCCCCTTCTCTTCATCCGCAAGTCATATCTAGCTCCTCCCCCTCACCATGATGGAACATTCTATGAAGCTTCTGCTGAAGAGCCTGGGAGGATAGACGGCACTGCTAGAGGGACCCAACCAGCAGTGACACCCCCCCTCCCCCTCTCACCTAGCACAGGAACACAGACACAACTTTGAAGACTTGAATGAACTCCTATTTCCTTATAAAGTGTTTCTTCCATTATAGAGATGAGAGGAGAGCCGAGTCATGTGATCTCTGAGGTGTCTATCAAGGTGTGCTTCTTCCTGGGGTGACATCTCTGACCCTTTCCTGTACTCAGGACACTACACCTCCAGGGCTGTGTGGGCTTCTCTGATGTTTGGTAGGACGAGACTTCTGGGAGAAACGTTTCCCGTGCTCAGGGCAGGAAAATGGCCTCTTCCCTGTGTGAGGGTTTTGATATTTGACAAGTTCTGATTTCTGTGTAGAACATTTCCCGCACTCAGGGCAGGAAAATAAGCACATAAGCAATTTTTTTCCCCTGAGAGTGGTTACCTGGGGGGTGGAGGGGAGGTTAGGTAGAGTGTTAGGAGGTGAGGATGACACATCCACAAGGCCAGTTGGGGATTACCACATGGTCGTGGCTTCGCTCTCTTCAATAGAGCCCACCCCCCTCCAAGAGGAAGTCTTCAGGTGCTGGGTCACATCATGCACATAAGCCACTGCCCTGGACCTGTAAAGCACCCTGTGGCTAACCACAATGCATTACACCAAGTGTCAAGGTGGGCACCTAGTGCCCTAAGCAACATTACAGGCTGGCCCAGCAAGGTCCGGGTATGGTCACTCTCAGGTGGGTCCTGCGTCCAGCGTGTCACTAAGCCCTGCGTCCAGCGCGTCACTAAGCCCTGCGTCCAGCGCGTCATTAAGCCCTGTGTCTAGCAGGGGGGGGGGGGCCCGGCCTAAAGCCGTGTAAGGGGCCCTAAAATTTCTGATGTCTGCCCTGAGGTCCGGGTATGGTCCACAAAGCAACAGCCCGAGGGGTACTGATCCGGAAACTGGGAAGTAGCCGCCGTGGCTGGACATGGCCAGAAGAACTTGAGAGAAGAATCGATGAGACAAAAGGTCACTAAACTACCACACATCTCCATCAGTAGAGAGGAGACGTCCATCACCTAAGGACACTAGCCAAAAAAATGAGGATTTCCTGAAGGGGGAGGGGCTATATGAGGAACCTCACAGTGTCCAATCATCTGATATCTGCATATAGAAGTCTCTGGATCTGCCTGTGTCCTGTGCTTTACCATCAAGAAAACAGCTTTGCCCACGTGTGTCTCATCTGATGTTCAGCATGAGGGGAGTTCCATTAAAAACTTTTTCCACACTCAGGAACATGGCTTCTTCCCTTGGCCAAGAAGATGGATCTTCTGTAAAAACATTTCCCTCACTCATGGGAATAAAACTCCTCCTTCATGTGAGATCTATAATGACTGAAGATTTATGCAGAAAACGTTTCCCACGGTCAGTGCAGGAATAGGGCTTCTCACCCCAGTGCAAACTCTGAAGACTGCAAAGAGAGCCCTTGTGTAAAAAACAAAAACAAAAAAACGTTTCCGGCACTCAGGATTCTCTCACGGGTGTGAACTCTGATGCTTAGTGAGACACCACTTCTGTGAAAAACCTCTCCCGCACTCGGAGCATGAATATGGCTTTTCCTTCAGGTGCGATTTCTGATGATTGAAAAGAGTGCCCGCGTGCGAATAACTTTTCCCGCACTCGGGGCAGGAAAATGGCTTCTCGCCTGTGTGTGATCTCTTATGATTGGAAAGAGAGGCCGCTTGTGAAAAACTTTTCCCGCACTCAGGGCAGGAAAATGGCTTCTCGCCTGTGTGCAATCTCTTATGCGTGTTAAGAGAGCTCCTCATTGTAAAACATTTCCCGCACTCAGAGCAGCAATATGGTTTATCCCCCGTGTGCAGTGTCTGATGTTTGGTAAGACTGGTCTTAAGTAAAAAACTTTTCCCGCACTCAGAGCAGGAATACGGCTTTGTCCCCGTGTGGGATGCGTAATGTGTGACAAGTTTCTTTTTATGGAAAAAACATTTCCCACACTCATAACAGTTAAGATACTTGCCACCCATGTGAGAACTCAGATGAACACAAAAAGTTGCTTCAGAGCTAAAAATTTCCCCGCACTCGGGGCAGGAAAATGTCTTCTCCCCCTGAATTCCGGCACCATCCCCCACAGGACGAGGTTTCTCAGAGTCAGAGGGATTCCATGCTCTATCCACACTGTGAAGTCCACCATCCATAGCTGAGCTCATTGTCTCTTCTCCCGCACAATCTGCTGTGATGTCCTCATCTTCCATCTTACAACCTGGAGATAAAGTCAGAGGATCCTTTGAGGGTTTCTCCATGGCGTGTCCTGGAAACATAGAAACACATGATGGAGAGATATGAGAGGGTTAGATGACTTCACTCAACATTCCATCTGGATCAGGAGGTCTGAGGGAGCAGATGTTCTCTGTGGAGGTCCCAACCAGCTGGGACTCCTCCCCTCTTCAGTTCAAGGGACTTTGGTCCTCCTCCCAGATCACTTCTACATTTACACAGCCTTGTCAGAAGAGGAGGAGCCAACGGAGACTGGTAGGAGCATGCTCTTCACCCAACCACAAGCCTAGGCACTGGGTCATGTGACCTCTGAGGAACAAGACATGTAGACCCTTCACCACAGAACAAGTGACCCCAGGCCTAGGCTTCTGGTGATGAGCAGCACTGGAGGGAGCTTGGAGAAGTATGTTCTCCTGGAAAGAGAAGTGTTTCAGTCTTTGTTACTTTTCATCCCAACAAGACTGATAATAGAGTTTTATGTTTAGCTAGAAGTCTGCTGGAAGACGAGGAACCGACCTAAGAAAGGCCCAATCTGTGTCCTCATATCTGTGCTCCTGGAACTAGGAGTGACACCCAACCCAATACTGCCAGCTGAACCCCAGGACGGGTATCAGTACAGGGAGGTGACCATTACCAACCTACTATTGGCTGATATCACTCAGATCCCGGCCTACTCTGGACCAATCAGTGTGCAGGAACAGAGCAGAGATAAGAGAAGAATATATTATGGGTCACCTGTGCTGATCTCTGTAGGAGTGTCCTCCTCTTTGATTGTCCTCGTCATTCCATCCTCCTCTTTAAATGTCCTCATCGTTCCATCCTCCTCTATGAGTGTCCTCGTAGTTCCATCTTTTTCTATGAGTGTCCTCGTCATTCCATCCTCCTCCGTATGTTGCTGATCATCCCTCACATACGTCTCTTCTACTTCACCCTCAACTTTCATCTTCATCAGATCTTCACCCTAAACCAACAGAATGGCAGAAAGTCTCATCTTGTAGAGTCCACACATCATCTCCACATGTCAGAGTCTTCAATCACTCAACTCCACCTACCTGGTCATGATGGGGGATGGCGTGGTCCTCCTGTGTGGAATCCCGCGAATACAGAGGACGGGGACATCTCTCTGGTGGGTTCCTGTAGCTGGATGACTCCTCCATAATATTCTTGTAGAGATCCTTGTGTCCTTCAGAAAGCTCCTTCATCACTCCATACTCCTCATCCTCCTCTTTATACTCTTCTTTCATATCATTATAGTCCCCGAGGTTTCCAATCTGAATATATAATAAAACATTCATTGTATCAAACACGCTTCTGTACAATCATCATCATCAATATCACCGACACACACAATGATACCGTCACCATCCAGACACATCCCTTGTCTGTTCCTGGATCATGTCCCAGAATTCCCGGCACCACTCACCTCTCCTGTCAGCAGCTCCATCATCTTCTTGATGACTTCCAGAATCTTCTCGATGTTGGCTCTCTCAGGTTTTAGGGAGTCACATGGAGGCACTGTGATGGTCACATGATAACCTGACTTCAGAAGAGGAAAACTCTGGATGGAGAAACCAATAGGAATATCATGTTAGAATCCCAGAATCCTCCTCACCTCTCCGGTCAGGTCTGTGTATTATTAATAGAGATAAGAGTGATGTCATGTGACTAGTGATGGTGGAACTTGCTATTTAAGTCAATAGAAGGTGAATCTTAGAAAGAAATTATCTCCATGTTTAAGGCTCATGGACAAGGGATTGTCATACAAGGGAGCTGGGCTCTGCTCTGGGGACATGTACCAATAACAACAATTATAAAAGTAACATTCAGCGGGGAGATGCCCTCCATTTTATGCCTCATTTGAGAGTGACATGTATGCCTGTTTTGTAGGCCACATTCGAAGAGGGAGAGATGAGGAATTTTTTGATTCTAAAAGAAATGATACATTGGATGGAGACCGAGACACAAAGCAGAGATTGTACGCGCATCATGTAAGCCTTTCTAGAAGACAGAGAGAGCGGTCATTATTTATCCAGACATTAAAACTATAGTGGATTATGTCAGAGCAGAAATATTAGAGACACGCTGGACATCATGTAAGCCTTTTTAATAAGCCGCATTTGAGGTGTGAGGGACGAGGACATTTTTATGTAAAATAAAAATTGCTTTGGTCAGAGACAGAAGGCAGAAATATTGTACAGGAAGCAATGGATCAGTGGCAGGAGACGATATTGGATAGCAGGCAACCAGATGTTAATGGATGGCAGGTCAGCAGCAGGAGATATTATCATCATTACTATTATACAGGATTTATGTAGTAGGAGGGACTAGAGATACAAAAGGTAATAATTGTGTAGTTAGTGGAAGCAGTAAAAGGGACAGTTATTATGTGGAGGTGGGATAGACTTCCCTGAAGAAATAAGTTTTCAAGGATCCCCTCAAGGTGGACAGAGTAGGAGATAAGCAGACAGATTGGGTTAGGGAGTTCCAGAGAACGGGAGAGGCTGGAGAGCAGGAGGTCTTGAGAGGAGTTTAGAGGACAATTTGGGTGATATTTTGAGATGAGGTGGGTGATGTAGTCGGGGGCAGGATTGTAGATGGCTTTGTATGTTGTTATTAGTATTCTGAATTTTATTAATTTGGCAAATGGGAGCCAGTGGAGGGATTGGTGGAGAGGGGTGGGGGATGGGAGCCAGATGAGGGTTGGATGGAGAAACCAATAGGAATATCATGTTAGAATCCCAGAATCCTCCTCACCTCTCCGGTCAGGTCTGTGTATTATTAATAGAGATAAGAGTGATGTCATGTGACTAGTGATGGTGGAACTTGCTATTTAAGTCAATAGAAGGTGAATCTTAGAAAGAAATTATCTCCATGTTTAAGGCTCATGGACAAGGGATTGTCATACAAGGGAGCTGGGCTCTGCTCTGGGGACATGTACCAATAACAACAATTATAAAAGTAACATTCAGCGGGGAGATGCCCTCCATTTTATGCCTCATTTGAGAGTGACATGTATGCCTGTTTTGTAGGCCACATTCGAAGAGGGAGAGATGAGGAATTTTTTGATTCTAAAAGAAATGATACATTGGATGGAGACCGAGACACAAAGCAGAGATTGTACGCGCATCATGTAAGCCTTTCTAGAAGACAGAGAGAGCGGTCATTATTTATCCAGACATTAAAACTATAGTGGATTATGTCAGAGCAGAAATATTAGAGACACGCTGGACATCATGTAAGCCTTTTTAATAAGCCGCATTTGAGGTGTGAGGGACGAGGACATTTTTATGTAAAATAAAAATTGCTTTGGTCAGAGACAGAAGGCAGAAATATTGTACAGGAAGCAATGGATCAGTGGCAGGAGACGATATTGGATAGCAGGCAACCAGATGTTAATGGATGGCAGGTCAGCAGCAGGAGATATTATCATCATTACTATTATACAGGATTTATGTAGTAGGAGGGACTAGAGATACAAAAGGTAATAATTGTGTAGTTAGTGGAAGCAGTAAAAGGGACAGTTATTATGTGGAGGTGGGATAGACTTCCCTGAAGAAATAAGTTTTCAAGGATCCCCTCAAGGTGGACAGAGTAGGAGATAAGCAGACAGATTGGGTTAGGGAGTTCCAGAGAACGGGAGAGGCTGGAGCGCAGAAGGTCTTGAGAGGGGGTT